AGCATGGCCCCTGCGCTTTCAAGGATGACACACATAAATTTCATACGCTACGATTCAGCAACATCAGGGAACCGAAAAAAAGAAAAAAAAACTTTCTTGTAGAGTAGGAACCAGACTGGCACACTCCCTAGGGCGTGGTCCCATTGGCAAAGAGGATCGGATCGAATGCCTGAATCTGGACGTGTTTGTAGAGAGGTGCAGGAAATCGAGATTGAACTGCTTTTCTGCATCTCTGCATAAAACACATCCAGATTCAGGCATTCGATCCAATCCCCTCTTTGCTAGTGGGACCTCGGCCCTAGAGAGGGGTGGAGTCTCGGCTCTAACGCTGTGGTTTGAAGAAAGAAAAAAAACAAGAAGAAAAGATGAAATGATTTTTTTTGTCACAAACAACTGCTGAATCAAATCATACCTTACCTTCACTCATTATTGCTGCCGGTTGGGAAAAAAAAGAAAAAAGAAAGAAAAAAAAAAGAAGCCTGAGGGCACACTGATACTAGGCCCTCAAATCACAAAATCGCAAAATGAGCGAGCAGACTGAGTCCTCGATGTGGCAGATTAAGAAAATACGAAATAATTGTCATAAACTACTGCTGAATCAAATCATACCTTCACTCATTACTGCTGCTGGTTAAAAAAAAAAAAAAAGCCTCAGGGCATACTCAAACTAGGTCCTCAAAATCACAAAATCTGAAAATCGCAAAATGAGCGGGCAGATTCAGTCCTCGATCTGGCAGCTTTTATTTTTTGTGATTTTGTGATTTTGAGGGCCTAGTGTGAGTATACGCTGACTGTAGCCAGTCCTTAAAAAAAAAAAAAAGACTGTAGCCAGTCTTTGTGGCATCTCAGGGGATTCGCACACCAGGGCTTTCCTGGTTGATTGGAGTAGAATTATGGTGACATGCAGCTGCGAAAGATTGTGTGAAATTTGTCCTCAGCTGAGAAACACACTATGAAAGTGCCCTGTAAGAAACTGCTTGTTTGTCTGGTCTGGGTCTGGGTCTGGGTCTGTCCTGTCCTGCCTCTGTCTTCTCTGGGTCTCGTCTCGCCAGTCTGTCCGTCCTCGGTATGCCTCTCCCTCTGTATCGCTGTCTGTCTCTGTGGTCTGTCTGGTCTGATTTGACCTGCCTACCTACCTCTACCTCCCCGCCCGCCTGTCCATCTGACTGGTGTGTGTGTGTGTGTG